AATTAAAAAGAAAAAGCAAAACCATTACACTCGGAACAGCAGTGATATCATACTTACTTTATTTATAGAGAAAAGAAAACAGGTGTCGAATAATAATCAGACTCTGAATTAAAAAATACAAACTCTGAGACAAGTTGGAGTAAATGCACAAAGGCGGAAGTGAGTTCCCCCCCCACCCCCCCGACGCTTTTATTTTGTAGGCTCTCTCACGGTACTTCCGGTGCGGGGCTAGCATCGTTAGCTTGTGTGATCTCGGAGCTGCAGCGGCTCCGAGGCACAGTGTGAATCCGCGCAGAGGAGGAATCACACCCGCGACACTGTGTCTCCCGCCCGCGGACATGGCTGCTTCACTTCTCACTCCCTCTTAGAAGAAAACCGAAGCGACGGATTCCTTTTTTTTTTATTTTTAATTTCCTGTTGTTTCCTCGTTTCAACCTGAAGTTGGTTTGACAGGTGAGTGTTTACATCCTCCACGAGCCTCACGTGGGTTTGATTCCGCTGTTCCGTGATGGATTCGTGGAGATCCTGACCTGAGCTGTGTGCTGAGTCTGACGATCGAGAGAGACAGAGGAGAAGCTCGAACATCTGTCCAACAGCTGCAAACTCGATCCAGTTCAACTTCAGTGCAGAATCAAATCCACATCTGTGAGAGAGAAGTCCAGGTTTCTCTGAATATCGTGGTTCAAGGTGATTCACGACACTAACTCAGCAGCAAAGCCTCGAGTTAAAACAGTAAAGTATTTAAGAGGCAGGACAATAGTTGAGAATTCAAAGATAATTAATTTGATTCAATTCAACTTTACTGCAGAGACAAATGTCCACATCTGTTTGAAATCAAATCAAATACAAACAACAGGTAAATAGAATCACAGCAGCCCAGCAGAGGTAAGTGTGTCTGCACCGTTCATACAAGGACACTCAATAGACCAGGCACATTAAGACCTGGATTAAATCTGTGAAAATGCGTTAAAGACAATAACAAGCTGAGTTAATATGAACTCTGGACTCAATTTCAAATGTGCTGCAGAAACAGAGGTCCACATCTGTGTAAAGTAAAATTAAAACACAGTCACAGCGGCCCAGGGCACATGTGTGTGTGTACCACAGACAGATACAGCAGCCGAGCAGGGAAGCAACACACAGGACGACAGGAAAATGTTTGGTTTTAAAAGACAATGAGGAGATAAGTTGGTGATTTTTACGAGAAAGCTGCAGCAAACCAGCGTGTTTCAGCTCCGACAGGTTCAGCAGAGCTCAGGCAGTTTGTTCCACAGGTGGGAGCAGATCCTGGGGTCTGGCTGCTTCCTAAAGGGGCTCGGTTAGAATCTGGTTTTCTTGTTTGTGTGTTAAACATTGAGTTTTATCTGCTTCTTTTTTCTTTTATCAGTGTCACATTGAATTGATGTTGTGTGATTGATTGCTGTTTACAGTCTGTCTGGGCACCAGTGTGATGTGTAATTAGACTTAATGACTGTCTGCATTGACTTCACACACACACACACACACACACACACACACTTGTCCTCTGCGTTGAGTGTGTGTTGGGGTTTCCTGCCCTCCTGCAGGGGGCTGACTCAGGTGTGGATGTGCAGCAGCAGCAGGGTCAGTACCATCACACACTGTTTAAATCTGCAGCACACGGTGCAGCAGCC